ACGCTGCAGGATCCCGGAAAACAAGCCTTGCCCGTTCTCGAAAAGGTGGTGGAACAGCGATCTCAGCCGTCAGAAGACTGCGATAAAGAAGCTAAGTCGTCTCGCATACAAGTTCAGGGCCCTTCCAGATCACGCGTCACACACAGAGCTACGGAAGGCCAGGAACGAGTATGGTGAAGCTATAGTAGAAGCCAAGCGAGGACACTGGGAGGACTTCCTGGAGAACGCAGCTGAGCAAGACCTTTGGACGGCGAATCATTACTTCAAGGAACCAACGGGCGACGGGGGAAAGTCAAGAGTACCTACGCTCAAGGTTCCAGGAGAAGGCGCAGCCGGGCTACTACGGGAGATCAACACTAACGATGGTAAGGCAGAAATCCTCGCGCAAGCCTTCTTTCCCAAGAAGCCCAACCACTCCAGAGTGCCGCTGAACGAGTGGTAGCTACCACTTTTATGATAAAATACAGGCAAGTGCCTGCACACCGACATCCACACTGCCTAATGAATTTATGAAATGAGAAGAGTAGGCAAAACTTATGAAATGTATTTCATTTCTTTACCAGTGCTTCTCATGACTATTTCATAACTGTCCTGAGACATATTTCAATACTACTTCATTGCAATTTCATTACTGCCTGGCCTTCCATTTCATTGTCTACCCAGCATTGTTTCATTGCTATTTCATTCTTGCCTGACTTTTAATTTCATTGCCTACCCAGCCTTATTTCATTGCCTTTTCATATCCTTGCCTGGGCTACTTCATATTCATTTCATATCCCTGCCTGGACAATTTCATATCCCTGCCTGGGCAGTCTCATATCCCTGCCTGGGCAATTTCATATCCTTGCCTGAGCAATCTCATATCCCTGCCTGGGCTACTTCATATTCATTTCATTTCTTGCCTGAGGCAATTTCATATCCCTGCCTGGGTGATTTCATATCCCTGCCTGGGCAATTTCATATCCTTGCCTGGGCAATCTCATATCCCTGCCTGGGCTACTTCATATTCATTTCATTTCTTGCCTTAGGCAATTTCATATCCCTGCCTGGGTAATTTCATATCCTTGCCTGGGCAATCTCATATCCCTGCCTGGGCTACTTCATATTCATTTCATTTCTTGCCTTAGGCAATTTCATATCCCTTCCTGCATAATTTCATATCCCTGCCTGGGCAATTTCATATCTATTTCATTCCCTACCTTGGGCTATTTCATATCCTTGCCTTTGCAATCTCATATCCCTGCCTGGGCTATTTCATACCTACCCTACTGCATTTATCATTGCCCCCTCAGAATGTCAGGCACTGCCTTCAGGGTCCATTTCAGGGTCCATCCCAAAGAGGAAACATCACCTGGTTTGACCAAAAGTGAAGAAAACCAAGAGGAGAATGTTTTTACCTATCAGGGTCCATATAATGGGATGTTGGGATGTTGGTCACATGACCAATTACCAAAAATGGTCAAAAATGAAAGTTGTAGCCCTACACTATAGCTTCCCGAATCTGTTTGAATTATGTTCTGAAGTGCTCCCATTGTAAAAGATTTTCAAAAGTGTTGCTTCTTTTTTGTGTTTTTTTTTTGCATTTTTCTCCATGAAAACAAAACCAAACAACATGATTTCAGTATATTTGGAAAGCTATAAAAAAAAGGGCTACAATTATTGTATCATGGGAAAAATGACCAAAAAAGGAAGATGCATGCCCTAGAAAAGAAATTGACACTGATAGACTATAATAGTCAGATATAGACTACCATAACTACCAAAAAGTCAGACATAGACTACAAAGTTTACTAATAGCCAGACTTAGACTACAAGGTTTACTGATAGACTACAAAAGTCAGACTTAGACTACAAAGTTTACTGATACACTACAAAAGTTGGATATAGACTACAAAGTTTACTGATACACTACAAATAACTACAAAAGTCAGACATAGACTACAATGTTTACTGATACACAAAAGACTACAAAAGTCAGACTGAGACTACAAAAGTTTGTAGTGTCCGCTTTTTGGGACTACAAAAGTTTGTAGTTGACATGTAGTTTATGGTGTTCTTGGCTCTGTCCAGATTATGGGGGTGAGGTTGAAGGGTTGACATGATCTTACTTACATATTACTAATGCTGCTGCATTAGTTTTTGACATTATGCACAAGTTGTCTTCACATTAGGAAAGGCTATCCT